TAGCTCACTGCTGCACCACCCTGCAAGTAGCGTTTGCCCTGTTCCCAGATGCTGGCCCTGCGTGCAGCAGAACCCATCGTGCTCCCAAAGAGGCGACAAATTCGGTCGTTTTCCGAATTTGTTTGTAATTCAACATGTCCCGAATTCATAGATGATTTAAGTATAGTTTCCATGGCGATTGGGCCACAATTTGGAGGAAGAGGTTGCAGGGTCCCTTGGACCAGTTGCCGTAGCTACTAAGCTACCATTCGGGATATGGTTTGCTGTCCCTTAAACAATAAGAAAATCAAACCGGGAAGCAGATGATCACTAACAAAGAACCAAGAATCTGCAAGAAGCACATATAATCAGCAATAATAAAAAAAGACAGTTCAACAATCAAATGAACATGAAGTACAACATTGTAATCAAAAAGGATCAATCATCACAAGTTTCAGATCGTCCAGTTGTATTTTGGTCTAGTTTTATCTCTTTAACTGTAGATGTATTTGCCATAAACCCATTATGTGGTTTGAGGACCCTTCTTGCAGCCACTAAGGAGTAGCGATCACTTAGCATATCGCATTTTATTCTTGCAATCATCATTGGTATATGTGTCCAACATTTTGCGCGTGGACAAATATAATTCTATAACCCATATGATATCCCCATTCTAGAATTTGTCTCATATCGTATAGCAATCCGAGCGAATTTCATCAAAGTGTCATGAGATATGCTGTAATATCCTTTAATATTCCCTTATCCGTAATATTGATTGCATAGGATCCCTATAAGATCCCTTTCACATTCTCAGGAAATCCCAATGATATTATTCAATATGAAATGTCTAGAAATTCAGATTCCCTTAACATATTCCCACATTTTTAGCATATCCCCAATCATCTCCCCATGAAAATCATGGCTGTAGCCCCTGGCAGGCGTGCGCCTCCCCAATGGCACAGCTCCAAGGCGATCCCATCCCAGCAAAGTGGAGATTTCGGATGTAACCCATGTGGCAATTCTTGATCAATTGGAAACAGATTCTGAGTTTACCAAACAAAATGCTAAATGTTATTTATTTGAGCATCAAAAACATTCAAAAACGGTGTCAGTGTCAGCAAATTTGATGTATACAATAAAAACGAGAATGAATATATCCGTTCAACAATGGAGGAGATGAACCACACAAGCAAGGGTAGTTCAACCAACAAATTGTATTCAAACAGCAACAAAAACAGCGAGTTCCTTGAGATTGAACCCGCTGGGTGATTGTGGGGTATTACCCCAGGGCATATATCCAGCAGAATTTGATCCGGTAGCCTAGCGAACGGACCTATCTTAACCTACAATTTGGTGCATCCAAATGTAAGTTGGTTTCAATTACCCTATCCAACTATAGCTTATTTCAACATAAACCCGAGTGAGGTTGTGAACTAAACCAACTGGAGCACCACGTAGTGCTTCAAATCCCACAAAAATCCCAATCTTTGTTGGTTAAATCCCACTAAATCCCATGAACTATGCCATCTAATCCCATTAAAACCCTTCTTGAACTCGACGCCGTGCAGCTCTCAGCCGCAGGTGACAGCTTCGAACCGAAGAGGTAAGGTTCGACAGCCGGCAGAATGATGATAATCTTATGATATTCATATATAATTTCATACATATATTCATGGTATCAACATATAATGGTGGTATTAATGGTATTACATAATATTTTACATAATTATACCATGGTATAAATTCATTATATATATATATATTCATGGTATTACCATTAATGAATATTGATCGAATTGGGACGTGGCGGAGATTTCACCATAACCCCAAGCTACCGAAGTATCATGGTGGTTTAAACTTAAACCAGCAACGATGGAGATACATTGGTGATATTAATATATATATATATATATATTAATGGGCATATGGAATAAATACCATCAGTCTTGAATAATTAATTATAAATGATAGCTTGATATGGGATTTTTACATATGTTAACTTTAACCTTAAGAAAATTGTGTTTTTCATTGGCACATTTCATGGGGGATGTAGTGGGAACTCACTAAGTAGGACAAGAACATGGGTATTTTCCCAACCAACGTTGCCACCTTGGCAGGTCGTCTCTGAAGGTCAGCGACGTCACGAAGGATGGTAGGAAAGAGGTAACTATCTCAAAATGCCAGAGTTCAAGGTAGTGAATTGCTATGTATCCAAAATTTGGATAACCATAAGATTTGGGATATCCAAATGGGTTATGGCAACTATTAATTATGATAACCCAATGGGTTGAAGTGCCCAAGATTGGGACAGGACCACGCATGGATGGCATTGGGATTTCTTGGATTTCCTGGATTCAACCCGTCAAGATTGCAAGAACGTAACGCAAGTGGATCCGTTTGATTCCATCATGTCCTACATTGACTTGAGGTGTGTCTAAGATGTTCGGTATTTGAACGCGAATTTGAGATCAACTTGAGTAACTTGAGGATCATGTCCAGCAAAGTTTGTGGAAAGCGTCACTGACATTCCGCGAGCGCCGTTCTGAATTTGTTTCGTCTCACCTGGACTCGGGATCCAACTTGGGGAAAGTCAGCTGGGCTTGGAAACTCATTGAATCGGATTCCTGGATGGTCTCACCCAAGTCGTAGTTGCTTGTGACTCCCTACAGAAAGGGATATGCAGCAGAAAAATAGAGCAAGATGGGCTTGAAAGGCTGAAAGGTGGCAAATGTATACTAAATAGAACTAGATCATTTGATATCAACCTTCAGGAAGCAATGTAACTCCTCAAAATAAAAGCCTTGAACCTTTCCTATAGCATCAATGGTGGAGATTGACCATTCACCAACAGCATCCAGGATCATCCAGGCCATGGAAAGGGGTGTCATTGTCGCTAGCCGAATAGCTGGATGGATTGTAGTGTTTCAGAAATCCATCAACAAAAAATGGAGGCTATTTGAAGGTTTCCATTACTATGGCTATCCATGGCTATCCCAATAGTTGGATGGTTGATTTCCATGGGAAAAACCATCAATGGATGATAACTAGGGGTAGCCCCATGCAGTTCACGTCCCCAAAGTTCGGACCTGCGGGATTGGACTTAGGGATTGTTACGAGAGTTGGACCGTTGGACCTAAAAATAATGAGTCAGCGGAGCATTTGATGGGGAAAATGATGATCAAACATGAGATAGTTTCAGTTTCGATGCTTCAGGGTAGTAACATGACATCTCTGATAGGTGCTTTGGAACCATGGAATTTTATGACTTCCCATTCAGTTGGGAATGTCATCATCCCAAATGACGAAGTCCATAATTTTTCAGAGGGGTAGGTCAACCACCAGCGAGCATATCATCGATCGGCTGGGTTGATCTCTCCACGGAGGCCGTGGCGAAATTCGCCAAAATACCCCCAGTTTGCAGCCACGCCAATCGTTGGGTGAAGCTTTCAGTAGTGATTCCAATACATCTCTTTATAATTATCTATATATATATATATGTAGACACATATTATATATATACATACACATCATAAGTTATCGCAATATAAGGGGGTTGACCTTTTTTTGGCAAACATGGGGTATATCCCAGACTCGCGGTCTTTATATGCTGAAGAATCAGTCCTGGGATGGCGGACTCAGCTGCTCAGTCACCGCAGCTGTATGCATCGCAGATGTGAAACCAGACATCCGTGTAGCATCGAAAGTAGCTACCCGGTAGGAGAGGTTGAAAGGCCTTGAAACTGATATCTTCAAAATGGTGCTTTCTATTTGTCCAGCATTTCGGCAAAGTATGATTGAGTTGGAAAAAGGCAATGACACGAATGTCGATGTTGGAAAAGCAAATGCCATGTTGAAACATCAGCAAAACATGTTCAAGCATCTTCAAACTTCAAAACAAATAATTATCATTGTAATTAAATATATATATATACATATAGATAGATGTACATGCACATGGCTAAACCTTTGTATATATACATGCACCTTTGTATGTATTATATTTACATAATTACAAACAACATCCTAGCTACGTTTAAAAAAGCCACTGCTTTGAAACCCACATTTTTGTCCCTTTGCAGCGCTGGAGTCACGGCCAGAGGCCACCGAATCAAACCAGCCCAGCTTGGCCGGATGTCGCACTTATAATAAGAAGAATAATTGTAATACCTGTAATGATATACAATGACAACAATAATTCTAACAAAAGGACTAGTGAAATAATAACAACAATTTAATACCAATAAACATGATTATTATTTCATGAGGAATAGTAAAGATGATTGATAATGGCAACATATAGTTTATTTAACTGCAGCTGAGTTCTGGCGCTACGAGGAGGGCTGACCTCGTCGACAAAAATATGAGGATCACGACATGCTTCCCAAGGGATCAAGTTGTGCAAAGTTGATTGGATATCATGATTTGCATTGATATATGTATATATATAGTATTTGATATTGTATTGGATATATCAAGTGTGTATCCTGATTGTATTGGATATCAGGACTAATACTCTTATACATATGTCTATATATGTCTATATATACGGATCCTGATCAACTAGCCAGAACAAGTAAGGTGCAACCAGCCATACTGCAATCCTACCGTTGCGGTTTTGAGGTGGTTAAACTCTCATGGAGCTCAGAAGAATGCACCACCCAGTATTTGCAAGTTGAAATTCGTTGAAATCCACATTTTCCAGCTGAAATCCACATTTTGATGGTCAAATCCCATGTTTGATCATTGTGGGTTTTCAATTCCCGTCTTCCCGTTCGTTATTCTTGGTCAGATCCCGACTTTTGTTTCATGTCAACACATAGGCAATTTAGGCACTTCACACTTCGTGAGGTCAAGATCACCACTTGGGGATGGGTCAATACCTATAGATACATTTTTAGTGGGATGAACATCCATTTATCAGCTGTTTTGGGGTTCACTAGGGGGATCGGGTTTTGAGCCCATCCCCACTTCCCACTTCGCAGCTTGAATCCATCGGGTTTCGCAGCCAGGTGCGAACGGCCATGATTCAGGCGCTCGCAGCCTTCTCTGGGGGCCTTTGGGTCACTTGGCTTGACTTGGCCATCCACTTGGAGATATGTCCATCATGATGGGGATTTATAGGGATTTTATAGGGATTTTATAGGGATGTATAGGGATTTATAGGGATTTATAAGGGTTTATGGGGATTTATAGGGGACATAATGGATAATACCATCTGGTTATGACTAACAGTTCGCCATGGAAAATCCATGGCCCATAGAAATAGATGGTTTACCGAACTTAAAAATGTATGGATCTTTCCATGGCTATGTAACAAATAACCAGAGTCGTTATTTTTTTTGAAATCCATATTTTGTCATTTTTTTTGTTGGTGTGGTGGGAGATATATAAAACAAAAAATATATATTTTCAAAATAGTGTACATCTATGTTGAGATATGTAGATATCAAAAGTAGAAATTGGAGATATGTCCATCATGAACATGGGATATCTTGCGAACATCATTTATGGATTGTTCATGTTCATGGTACTGATATCCAATATCCATAGTATCCAAATCTATGAATATGACTTCCCACCAAATTGCAAAATCAAATGCCACAAAATCTCAGAAAATGATCAGTCGTTTGTGGGCTCAACTGCAAAATATTCGTATCCATGACATATTGTACCAGTTTAATTGGTTCAAACTGTTTGTTGTTTGCCAATGTTAATGAACAAACATGTTCGATCGTGTTCGCGTCAGATGTCAATCTTGATCAAATCAGTGTTTTTGTGTTTTTGTTGCAGCCCATAATTTTAGTTGGTCAAATCCATATGAGAGGTGACCAAAATCCTGGTTTATCAGGGATCCGTATGGAACAAGGATGGGAACCCCTTGCAACCAGCCACAAGAAATAACAGGTTGGCTAACCCTGATAACAGTTTCAGTATTGTCAGTAGTATTCTCTCATATAACTTATTCCATTGATATACTGACAATAACTGACAATTTTTATTCCATTGATATCTCCATTGTCAGTGTTGTCAGTATAAGTATATTCCATTGTCAGTATTGTCAGTAGTATTCCATTGATATCTCCATAACTTGTTTTTTTTGTTTTTTTTCGCGACGGTAGCGAGGGTAATTCAGAATGGGTTGCTACGGGCTGCAAAGGGATGAACAATCATTACCAATCAAAGCATCGGAAGAAAATGAAACCATTATAATAACCATACATAAATATCATCATCATATGTTTATAACCATTGTAGGTTAACCACTTAAACTAAATTATAACCACTAAAACTATTAAATACCTACTATAACCACGACTAAAAGGGGCTTTTGAAGACTGCTTTTCTTTCACAAGCTGAGGTGCAGAACAAGCTCAGCGATCTGCAACTGCCGCAGCTCAGCGGGGGCAGCCCAAATGCGGTTGAGCAAATCACGCGAATTCTTGGTAAATGATGGGAAGGTGATGGGAAAATGATGGGAAGATGATGGGAAAATGATGGGAAGATGATGGGGAAATGATGGGGAAATGATGGGGAAATGATGGGAAAATGATGGGAAATTGATGGGAAAATGAGGGGAAATGATGGGAAAATGATGGGGAAATGATGGGGAAATGATGGGGAAATGATGGGAAAATGATGGGAAAATGATGGGGAAATGATGGGAAAATGATGGGGAAATGATGGGGAAATGATGGGAAAATGCTGGGGAAATGATGGGGAAATGATGGGGAAATGATGGGAAAATGATGGGAAAATGATGGGAACATGATGGGGAAATGATGGGGAAATGATGGGGAAATGATGGGAAAATGATGGGGAAATGATGGGGAAATGATGGGGAAATGATGGGGAAATGATGGGAAAATGATGGGGAAATGATGGGAAAATGATGGGGAAATGATGGGGAAATGATGGGGAAATGATGGGGAAATGATGGGGAAATGATGGGGAAATGATGGGGAAATGATGGGGAAATGATGGGGAAATGATGGGAAGATGATGGGGAAATGATGGGGAAATGATGGGGAAATGATGGGAAAATGATGGGAAAATGATGGGAAAATGATGGGGAAATGAGGGGAAAATGATGGGGAAATGATGGGGAAATGATGGGGAAATGATGGGAAAATGATGGGGAAATGATGGGAAAATGATGGGAAAATGATGGGAAAATGATGGGGAAATGATGGGGAAATGATGGAAAGTCATGGAAAACTGGTACCCTCTGGTAATGACGAAAAAATATCTATTGAACATGGCCATTTAGTTCGATGATTTACCCACTAAAAATGGTGATGTTCCACAGCTATGTTACTGTAGTTTACCAGAGGGTAATGTGCGCAGCTCAATAACAAAACCTACTGAACTTTTTGGGGATGATAGTAACCCATTTATGGTGATATTAGGGATGGTTTATGATTGGGTTTACCTCATAAATGAGGTCTTTTTGTTTGTCTGACAAAATCGATGAGAGCGTAAAAGAAACTATAAATGAAGCGATATGATTAGTATTACTATTTTTGGGCCCGGGCAAGTTTGATTAGAACATTCTGTAGCTTTAATTAACAAATAGGCAAGGTCTATTTATCAACAATTATATTCATCATCGTTTACCTGGTCCAATGAAAAATACAATCTATTTTGAAATTGTGGATACCTCATCCTAATACTGAATAGGCAAAATTGTTGGCTATTACATGTCCTTTTTGAACCCCTGAAACATTCATTTACAAGTCTATCCCCTATAATGTGCATGCATATATATATAATATCCAATACATATATATAATATACATACACATTGTAGATACTAATTAACCGTACATGTGCTATGTCAATACTAATATTAGTACTAATACCAGTACGAAAGCTAATTCTAAGGCTTGTACTCTATATTAAATCCACCATCTTTAATACTAAAAACATATTTCATATAGATAATTAGTAGTATTGAATATAATTTCATTTAATCTATAATCTACCATCTTTATTCCCATCAGCATTTGCCCTATGAATTTCTTCATCTCCCTCTGCATGGCTAGGCCGTCGGATCAATGAGGCGGAAAGCTTTAAACTTTCCGTGCAGGTGGTCGCCGCGTCACTTGGCGGTGCGGGGCGTGGAGGGTGCCAGCTAGGACTGTTTATATGTTTTAAGTAGTTGTTTATGTTATGTTTGGCGCAATTGCGTGGGGTGTTTTGAGGTGTTTTCTGTTATTTGCTTCTTCTGTATGTGTTGGTGTATATATATATATGTATGTATATATGTATGTATGTATGTAATGTAATGTAATGTAATGTAATGTAATGTAATGTAATGTAATGTATGTATGTATTTATATATATATATTTATTTATTTATATTGGATAGTTATGGTGAATTAACCAAATGTACCTAGACCCTGCATGAAACATCAATAGTAATCTTGAAATTGTATGTTCAACAATTAATGTTTGAAAATGCTGTGCATGGATTTGTGTGTACATTGAGGATCAATGTACCCATCAATGGTGTTAATTGTGACTTCACTTCACTCTGATTTATCATGCAATATTACAAGTACATGGGGCACGTTAGTTTGTGAGCTATCCCATGGTGTGAGGATTGCACCAGGATTTGGTAAGAATCATTTGGATCTGACCCCGCGACCAGCGTTGGGTTTACAATTGAACACTCGTGGGGAATGATAACCATCAAAACTGTGGTCACCAGAAGCAAAAAAAACATTGAACCTCCAGCTGCACTGTTCTGGACACGTCTGGACATATTGTCGTCAGACAGATGGTTTTGTTTTTCCTAGGTTGGGTGCTTCTTGGTATCTCCATCTCATCTCAGATGAGGCATCATTACTTGATTTTTTTTACAAAGAGGTGCACGCTAGTTACAAGTTGGTTTGTAACCCCGCTTAACTACACTTACTAATTTGCACTTGCAATGATTTTTACCACCATAAAACCCAACCGTGAGTTACATGAGTCCTCCTAAAAACCACCTTAGTTATTCCATGGATCAACTCTCAATCCCCATGGGAAACCGCCATCCCTGGCTGCCCAGCGTGCCGAAGGTCCATCCCTGGCTTGACGGATTCCGGGCTGCTCACGCGCGAGCGGCCCAGGGTGGCAGCACTGCTCAATGGAGTTCGGAAGGCGAAAAAAAGTGGGGTGAAAACAGGAGATGTTGGTGCAGAAAACATGGGAAAACACGGGACAACACCATACTTTGATATACTTTCATGGTTTATTGTCAATGTGTTCCCTTTTCGAACTTGCCACTTTGGGGAGGTATACCCAGCTTTTGGACAAGCCCAATGTTTCAGCATTTGGAAGACGACTTTCCTCTAAAATGGGCGGGTTTGATGTTAGTCGGGGATGGTCATTCACCAATATGGCTCCCAATTTTGTCGCTTCAAATTGTTTAAATCGTCCATTCTTGTTGGTTTAACCTGTTGTTTTTGTTCAACAGCATTTCTGGTTTAATCATGGTTAATCCCATTTTTGTTGGTTCAAATCATCCATTTTTCTGGGTTGAACCACCTTTTGTGTGTCAAATCGCACAACTTTCTCAAAGGAGACCGAGTTTGGTGACTGCGATCCGGACGAGAACGACCTCTTGGCCTTGCCAGGCTGCAGTGAAACATTACATTCGCACCAAAAATGTGGTGAGATACCCCCAAAGTAGGGATATTGATATGATATATTCCAAGATTATATATATATATATGTATAATTCCCAATATGTATTGAAGCCCCTGAAGTGATATATAACTGATATGCAAGACTTGTTCTTGATTTTGCCACACATATTGGGGGCAACGCTGGGATAGAACTTGATCCAGCCGCATGGCTTCAGCGATTTTTTCACCTGGACAATGCCCGTCCGGTCGATCCTGAAAATTCCAGAAAATGGTAGTGATACAATGGTAATGTATGGTAATTTCTGGGGACTTTACGGGAAAAATCATCTATAAATGGAGTTTTTCTGGTTGGTGGTTTCAAACATGAATTTTATATTTTCCATTTCATATGTGGGCCATTGACCCATTGACGAACTCATATTTTTCAAGATGGTTATTGCACCAACCAGGAAACAATATCCATGCAATCCAACATTATCCATAGAATATCCAGCAATAGTTCGATGATTTTCCCAGCCAAATGAACTTCATTGGGTATTTTCCTCCGCTTGCAGGGACCGATAATTTGCCTCCTTGCGATTGGCACTTCAATGAGACGTCAGGGATGCCTAAAGGGGGGTCCCAAGGCGGATGGGACCCGCACAGATGGGCATAGAAACCAGTGAAGTGCTTGGTGGTGTAAGATGGTGTAGTCCATTTACACAGTCTAGCAGCCCCCAAAAGTGACACATCCATGTGTGTATATATATATAGTATACAGTATATTATATTGTGACATATATATATATATACACATAGAATCAATATACATATAAGTTGCGCAAAGACTTGACTGTCATTAGCATCGTTGATCTGAGGCTGACTTTTGCCGTCACCGTGGCGGACGTCCTTGCGGGGCAAAGCGTTTGCTGGTGGCAAGGGAATGGAGATGGGATGGTGTGAACTCATTGGGTGGGTCAGGTTTGCCTTGTGAAAGCAGGGTTCATATTTCATATAATTGACATGATTTATGGCTTCATCATAATCATACTTGTATATATATATATATTGAATATGTTCAAAAACACATGATAATAACATCAATGATTATATTCATAGTTAAAGATGTTATAGCCTTCATCATGGTGTTTGTTTCTTATGCGTGTGCTTTTTGATTACGGGATATTGTATGTACCATCAAGTGATTCACTTAGATCTGGATGCAGCATGATGCAGCATCATGCGGATTAGTTTGGGATGCTCCCATCACAACCTCCCCAATCCCTAGAATTCCAAACACCTTCTAAGAATCTGTTTGTTCCCAACAAATGCAACCAATCCATGCTTTGAAAGATCACGTCCTGTTGGATATCACGCCTGAGCTCCAACCCTTGGGTCGGAGGCTGGTGCTGGGACGAACCATTGCTTCGCTAGCACATAATTATAACCGTTGTACTGTATCTATCTAGAAATTATTACACATCTTTTTTGATGGTGATATATATAAATATATACATATACATATACATATTATTTATATGTATATATAGATAATTATATATATATGTGTATATATATATTATATACATAGAGAGAAGCCATTTTTTGTTGCTCCTTGATGGCTGCCCTGCGGGGCCCTGCCGCACTGAGGTGCAGCTCTGGATTCACACCTACAGTGATGTGCGCTTTGGACCCTTTCAGGTGAACCTCACGAGGCTTGGCAAAGATTGTGCTTATACCATCAGTTATAATGTACATTATGTATATATATAATGTGTATAAGTGTATAATATATATATATAATATATATATATATAATATGTACTATAATATATACTATAATATATATATATGTGATTATATACGTATATGAAGTTAGATTAATGGAATATTCCCTATGATATATGGGATTAGATGGCTTATGTCTAGATTGTAAACCACTTACTAAGTTGGATGCACATCCAAGTACAATCGATGTATGTGTATATTTATATATGTACTGTATATATAATTATGTATATATATATATGGGTTTCCATAAATGGGTACCCCAATAGCTGGTTGGTTGACAATGGAAAATCCGAAAATATAATGGATGATTTCGGGTGCACCAATTTTAAGAAACCTCTTTTTATGCGGTACCTCTTCGCCAGCTTTTCGATGGTAAGATGATGTGAATCCCAGCTGCCTGGGGCTATGGCCCACACGTTGCCACGCCACGTTCCACGTTCCATGGCGGCCAGGGCGCGGGATATCGGCGTGTGCTCCGTGGAATTACAGAAGCAGGTTCTTCCTGACTGCGTCACCTGGCGGTGACCATGGGGAGATCGGAGAAGGTCCCTGACTGCGTCACCGGGCGGAATTTCCCTCCACCGGTTGATGAAAATTGCTGGTTACCCCTCTGATAGTTGATACCCACTAAGCCGAAGGGGGTTATGAAGCTAGGGTTGACATGAATGGGCCTGGGAATGAACTCAAATTGCAGTAAGTGGTCGTAATATGCCGTTAACGAATATATGAATTTGGCCATAAATGGGAATATGTTCATTTACAAACCAGCTAGCCAAGAACATGGTAAGATTGGCACAGCTATAGCAAGTTTTGTTGGAGGTGATTGGTCCCGTTGGTCCCGTTTCTTTGGGGATCTAACTTTGGTCTAATCGAAGGCCCATATGTGAGTAGTGCAGTGAATACAGATAGCGCACACACATAGGCACAGACGTAGACGCAATTTGAGTGGTTTATAATCTTACTGGTGCTTAGTAGGGAATGGATGGGAATGGGGGAATGGGATGATTATTGATAGTTATTGTGGATCATTCCCTCATTCCCTGCTAAGCACCAGTAAGTAATTGTAGATCAGATAAACACTTGCACATTCAGAAATACAGAGAACCGACCCGCTGGGCAAACAGTCAGTTTAATGCGATAAGTGTTTTCTCAGGGGCGATAGTTGATACAGTGAGCTGGATGTGGGTCAGAACCATCAGTTCTAGCCTTAAAGCATCTTAAAGATTCTTAAAGCGCATTCTCAAACACATCAATTTGTGATCCATTGGCAAACAAATAACTCATTGAGGCCCATGGGAATGCAACTTATCCAGGATACTGTAGTGGCGACTGCTCCATAAACGTACCACTCAGCAAGCTACAGGTGCTGGGTTCTATTCGTGGTGTTTCATCCACCAAGTGCGGGAGGGGTCAAAACCTAGGATACCACATACTATTTGTTCATCTATTTACTGTGTATCTATCTATCCATCTATCCATCCATCCATCCATCATGAACACCTGGGTACCATGAGCCGCCTGGGCTTCCCTTACCATCAGATGCCGAGGTTCCGAGTGAAGAGTCAGGCACGGTCCCTTGAAGGGTCACCATCAAAGGTGTCTATATCTACCATATTAATCCATATTAGTGGATGCTGTCATGATGAACTATCGCATTTAGTACACGGTTCATGATGTTACAATGGGTATCAATGGATCATATTCAACTACTTATCTAGTCAATTGTAGAAATTTCGGATAAGTTGAGGGCACCGGTGCTTTTTAAATTTGGCCAACTGACACCACCGTAACCACCAAGATTTTTTTCGGCCAGGAGATTCGACCCGACACCAAGAGACACCCAGGAAGAGAGGCCTTGAAGGGATGAGTTTTCACATGTTTTCACCGGCAAAGATGGGGGTTGAAAATGGGGTATACCTCCAGTGATGGCCACATTATAAGGGAAACTATGGGAAAATGGTGATATGTCTAGCTTAATCCACCGGAATTCGGGATACCCCATTTAATGTCAGACAAGTCCACTTGGCTGTTTAAGCAACAGAAGATTAGGATAAACAACCAACAAACATGGCCGGAAATGGAGGTGGTGGCAGCAACGTTGCAATGGTGGTGACTGGAAACAAGTATATACATGTATGTTTATATACATATCCTATATATATATATACATATCCGAAAGATTCCTAAAGTATATATCCAAGTTCTTGGCATTGGATGAACTTTTGAAATCCCAGTTGAGTGACGAGTGACTTGTCATCACCAAGGCTTTTGTGACCAATGTTATTTCACTGTTGGGTTTATGGGGAGATATAATAACATATAAATACATATAAGTTGATGTAAACCAACACCATGGATCGATTACTTCATGTATATATATATATAGTTATATCATCACTTTATGTTTATATGGGTTTATACTCATATAGTTTGATGATGAGTACAAAAAAACATATATAATTGTTGTATAACCAATACCAATATTTCATTCATATAGTTAGATGGTGTTTAAGCCATGATAAATGACTAGAAGGCACCGGCTTCACTTGGGCCAATGACTTTAGAGTTGAAATATGTTGAACGCGCCGTCCCCATTGAATCGTCTTGCGGCTCGGTGGCTTGAGGAGTTTTTGAGAGTACACTCTGGTAGTAGATGATTTACCCCATTAAGTTTAAAAAAATATGCATTTCTAGGGGATTTCCCATTGTCACGTTTGATTACCGGAGGGTAATGCTGATTTCAATGGTTTTCAATGCATTCCTTTAGGAGATAGGATGCTTCGAGTGAATGTAGCTCTGCCCAGTGGTCGCAGGGAGGGCATTTCAATTCCATCGTCCTCCACAGTTGGACATTTGAGGACTCTTACCCAGAAGGCTTTCGGACAAGGCTTCCTGAGGCTTCTGACTGCAGAGGGGCATGTCCTGCTGGATTGTACGGAATCGCTGCAAAGCGCGGGGCTTCAAGATGGCGATAGCCTGACAGCGGTTCACCTTCAAGCAAATCTGGCCGCAACAGGCAAGGCTTTTGCGTTGTGGTGCCGTGGAGGTGACACGATCATCACATGGGGAGACCCAGACAGTGGCGGTGACAACTCCGCAGTGCAGAACCAGCTCCGGAAGGTGAAGCAGGCCCACGCCACTTGGGGTGCCTTCGCTGCAATCCTGGAGGGTGGCTCAGTGGTTGCCTGGGGACATCCTGAGGAGGGTGGTGACTGCTCTGCAGTCAAAGACCGGCTCAAGAATGTCCAGCAGATTCAAGCCACAGATGCTGCATTCGCTGCCATCCTGTCAGATGGATCAGTGGTGTCCTGGGGAGAGCCATTCTGCGGTGGTGACAGCTCGAAAGTCCAAGGTCGGCTTCAGAATGTGCGGCATGTTCAGGCCACAAGGTCTGCATTTGCTGCAATCCTGTCAGATGGAATTCTTGTAACTTGGGGTTCTGATTATTGTGGTGGCATCACTGGTTTCACAACCAAAGACGAGCCCAAGAACGTGCAGCAGATTCAAGCCACAATCAGCGCTTTTGCTGCCGTCATGGCAGATGAATCCATTGTAACCTGGGGCCTCAAAGCTCATGGTGGTGACAGCTCTGCGGTGCAAGGTCAGCTCCAGTCTGTGCAACAGATCCAAGCTGCCAATTGCGCATTTGCCGCGGTGTTGGCAGATGGATCGGTTGTTGCATGGGGCTTACCTGATGATGGCGGTGACAGCTCTTCTGTCCAAGATGAGCTTAAGAATGTGCTGAGAGTTCAGGCAACAATAAATGCATTTGCCGCTATCCTACAGGACGGATCTGTAGTGACATGGGGCAATGCAAATGGTGGTGGTGACTGCTCTGCAGTCAAAGACCGGCTCAAGAATGTCCAGCAGATTCAGGCCACAGAGACTGCATTTGCAGCGATTCTGTCAGATGGATCAGTGGTCACGTGGGGTGATGCAACCTATGGCGGTGATAGCTCGGCAGTTCAGGACCAGCTGCACAAAGTGCAGCAGATCCAGGCAACACAACGTGCATTTGCCGCCATCCTTCTTGATGGATCTGTGGTCACATGGGGCACTGCAACGAGTGGTGGTGACAGCTCTGCAGTCCAAGATCAACTCAAAAGTGTGCAACAAATTCAGGCCACAGCTGATGCATTTTCTGCGATCTTAGCAGATGGATCCATTGTGACATGGGGCCTTCCAGATTCCGGTGGTGATACTTCTGCAGTTCATGACCAAATTATGAACTTGTAGCAAGGGTGCATAGCTCGTGATTGCGTGATCGCAAAAGGGGCTTGTCGCAAAGTTTGGCGTTCCAACAGGAAGCCCATCTTGATCTTCCATGTGAAGGTTTCCCAAAATGAAGGTACCCCCAAATCATCCAAGTCAGTGGACCAGTTTAGATCATTTGATTCTTGAAACCCATGGGGACTTGGGGATCCCCCCTGACTTAAGAACCGCCCCGTGTAGGCAGCTACTCATGGGAGACGCCTGTGCTTCCCTTTCCGCATGGGAACCCAGGCCTTCCAAATACCGAAAAAGGCAACTAGGGTGAACTTACCAACCATTGGACTTGTTTACCTCTCTCTGAGAGGTAACTGGAAGATCATGGGATTCTATCATATGAATCATATTCTAGCCCTAAACTAAACCATATTAACCCTAAATGTGAGCTGTGAAACTGGTGATGATGTGTTGCAGCCATATTCCGAATAGTTTTCAGAGCGTTTCCAGTGGAAGATCCGCACTCGCCTTTATTTCCAGATGTTAATTCTCCAGTCGAAAGTGTCGTCTAACCCAAAATGTATGCGTATTTGAACATATAGTATTTCAGGATATTCGGATGTATTCATTCATATGATGTGATATATATACTGTAGTTGAAAAGCGGGCACGCCGCGGCACGCCTTCAACTTTTTTGTTCATATTGAACATCACCATACCTCGAATGCTTCCTCGAAACCTCAACTTTGGAGCCAGAGATAACCAGAGAGACTTCTAGCTGAACTTTTTCTCGGCAGTGGCAGATCGATGACCATAACTATACCATAACTATACGTAAATTACAAAGGGATTTGTGTACTGAAAGGCCAAGGACACGTGCAGTACTTTTTTGCGGATTGTTCGTGCCGTTTCATGTTTGAGAACAGTGTTATTCATGGAAGAATCAACCCCTAGCCCCCCCTTTTTTTTAGTTGAGGGGCTTGTTGTGGGCGCGAGATTTTTGAGAATTTATAGTTCCCTTTTTTATATAATTGGGGCCACCACTTTAGTTGCAGATTATCGCTACTTGGAAAGTGGGGAAGCGCACCTCTTTAATCAAGTAACTCTCGTTCTTCCTCAGTACATCCTTTTTGAAGGCTCTATATTCTATATTATATATTTAATATATATATATATTTATTGTATTTAACACACACACAAACTGTAATACATATATATATATAATTATTTAATTAATCATATACTATATATTATCAATTATTATCATACCGTATGATATCATGTCATGTCATGTCATATTAAACATATATATATATGTATACATAGACAATTATAGACACAAAACCTACCGTGCAGGATCATCCCGGATGCAGTGTCTTGACAGCCACTGTAGGTCTTGACTCAAGCGTTAGCAGACAAGGATCATGATCTGCTGATTTTAAAGCTCTAACGCAATACAACAATATTGGAAGATGCAATTCCCAACCATTTGGTTCTATTGTGTTATTAAATTATAGATCTATGTGCATCCACGAGACATGCAGACATTACCAGACGCCTCCGAGATCTTCGGAATGGATCTGGGCGTTGCGGCCATGGTGATCGCCATTCCCTCGCTGTCGGCGTTACACCTTCGACTGAACGAAGTGGATCTCAGGAGCAACGGGACATTTCAGCTCCATGGGAAATTTCCTGGATGAGCCTGGATGGGGTGATGATCCTCCAATTTTCACCATGTGGAAAATGGGGCAACTTGTAATGACCCGTTGGAATTGAAGAAGTGATAATAGGCCATTGGAATAATAACCCATTGGAATTAGTGAAATAACCCATAATGACTCATTTTTAATGGGGAACATTGTACTGACCCATTATGACCCATTGGAATTAAGGGGCACCCATGGGCACCCTATTTTCAGACAAACTCATCCAAGATTGGGAGGTTTTTGCAATGGCTACCGGGTAATTATCAGTAGTTGGGGGCTGTCCAAGAATGCAGGATACCGCACAATTTCCATGTTTTTGTTGCAGGAAATTGATGATAACAAACTGGTCTTCAATGGGATCATGATCACGGGAGCCAGTTTGAGCAACTCTGGGATTGAGGTCATTTTTGATATCTATAGATTCAAATGTACTTCAACTTATGACTTGGTGCCCTTCCTGGATTTAGTCTATAACATATGTTTCTAATATATATATATATTATATCCAACACAACTATGTATATACATATACCCGTGTGGTCAATTGCCACCCAGCTAGACATGTAGTTATAGGCTTAAAAGCGTCCTCAGTGTTTTGCCACTGCCCATCGGATCGGGCCACTCTTGTGACTTCAGATGTGCTTAAATTTACGATGCGTCCACATTTTCTTGGAAGGTTCAGCTCCCCCGGCAGCTGCCCCTCATGATTTATATTTATATGGATCCTTATGGTAGTTCCATATCATTTGTTTTGTCCGTTGAAAATTCAAGAATTGAAGGGTAATATGCAGGAAGCCCCTGCAATTGAGGAGATATTTACACCGTAGTTTCAACCCTAAATTGTCCCAATTTGTCCCCAATCCATGAATCCATGGATGCGTCTCAAAATTGGGGGTATACCATGGTATACCCATAAAACAATGTTTGTTTATTATTTTTTACAACGACATGATGAAAAACATCACATTGGGAGAGTTCTCCCAAGTGATTTTCCTTAGGAGGAGCAGCTACTCCTTTCTCCGTCGCTGCTTGACCGCGGCCAAGACCGAGATGTCGCCCGAGATGTCGCTGCGCTGCGCGCGGGTGGAAAAGGAACTGCAGAAGATGCGCGTGGCGTTTTTTCACGAACGTCACTTGATAGAAAGTTCAACTTTCCTGGATTTGCTGAAGATTGTTTTCAAAAATCAAAAAATCCCAAATCCACTAATTGTTATAGGGAATATATCTATATATGGATACATATGGTACCCGCCCCCAAAAGTCTACCTTTGGAAGGTAGATGGGGGGTGCCATATCAACAAGTGAACACATCATCTGGTGAATTATTCAACAAAATAAATGAAAGGAAAACTTCTCAAATGAAGACCTGGAGTTAAAAAAAGGAGGCACAAATTAGATATTTGACAACAACCAAAAATAAAAAAATAGAAGAAAGAAAAATGAAAAAAAAACTGAAAAACTGAAAAACTGAATTATTTTGGGACATGTTAATGGGAAAACTGAAAAAGTGAAAAATTGAATTTTCCCAGGAATGCTCTACCCCTGACATCTCCCAAAATTTTTCAGTTTTTCAGTTTTTCCATTGGCATTTCCCAGAGTCGTTCAGGTTGTCTGTCTCTGGTAATTGCTGTCCCGAACTCGTCTCACAGCTGTTGGCTGCATGTGTAGCCATTTGCATTCAGCACTTTTTGTCCCTGTCCTTCGTGCGGTCTCAGTGCATCATGGGCCTGCGCCGCAAGCGACACCGCGCATTCCGCAAAGTACTCAAAAAGCCTGGCCTCCTGAAGGGAACAGGCTTGGTGTTGCGCAGCCATAGTACGGAGTCGCTCGGACGAACCAAAGTTGCGTACAAGTCCTGGTCACCAATCATTCCCTGCCCTTAGTCTGTCTGACCCAACACAAGCCAAGGTATGAAGATGACTTCTGGGAGCTACTTGCTTGCATTCTGGTTCCCGACTCTTCCTCTTACTCAGGTGCAATTGCTTAGTTGTCACCTCCTTGCTGTTACCATGGCATCCTGTCAGCCTCCCGTGCCCAGGTCTGCCTGGACCTTTCCGATTGGCTTTCCGGACAATGTCGTAATGGAATCCACGGAGCCGCCTTCGGAAGCCGACTCGAATGAGTAGCTTGGCACAGAAAACTTCTGACACAACGGCTTTCTTGGTCAATCACTGCTTTCCTTCTGTTTTGCAACCCTGTACCAGCCGAGGTATGAAGATGACTTCTGGGAGCTTCTTGTTAGCAATTTTCTCCTCTACTTCACTTGCTTTAGATGCCTGTTGTTCTGCTCAGGTCTGCGTGGATCTTCCCGACTGGGTTTCCGGACAACGCGGTGGTCGACCAGCCGCCTGGAAAATTCCTACATCGATGTGCTATGCCGAAACCAACAGAGCACCAATCACTCTGAAATGGGTGGATCGAAACAAGGGAGACACAACAAGAGAGAACTACAGATCACGTCTCGTTGTACAAGAAATCAAATCGCAAGGGCAATCCCTAATCTTCCTAGAAGCTTTGTTTTAGAGCTGGCAGCTCTAATTTGGCATTCTAGGGTCCTAGAAGCTCATTTGGGAAGCTCTAATTTAGAGCTGGCAGCTTTAAATTGAAGCTGGCAGCTCTAAATTAGAGCTTCCCAAACAGGGCTGGCAGCTCAAATTTAAGGCAGCCGCCTTAAATTTGAGCTTCCAGGATTTTTGATTAAAAAAAACACCCTAGAAGCTCTAAAATAGAGCTTCCCAAATGAGCTTCTAGAAGCCCTATTTTTTTGGCATGCCTGCAGCCCATTTTTGCAAGAGAAAAATGAGCATATACACACACACATATGTATTTATATATATTTATATAGATAGATAGAATATATACATGTATATATTTGGCAAAGGTTGCAAAGGAACCATATTTAATCAACATATATGGTCTCACTTGCTTTTTGATCACAACTGCAAGCTGATTTCATCGCCATGGCAAAGCTGTTGCCTGTGAAGCCTGTGGAAAGGCTGGAAAAGGACAAAGTCAAGCAGCTGGCAGCATTGATCAAAGGCTGCATACCTGATTGCAAACTTGAAGACTTCCCAGCAGATCCAGGGAAAGCTTGCAATAGGCTGCAAGCCGCTAGCCTTTCTGTGTTTGTGGTACCCAGCCACAAGCAACAAGAAAGCAGATGAGAGGAAAGCTTTCTCAGAAGCCTGTGGAAGGCTGGAAAGCCAATAGGCAAAAGCGATTGTGAACAATCTTCATGAATACAAAGCTTGGCTGCTTAGAAAAAAAAAGAGACTTAAAGACAGGTGAAAGAACAGACCCTACCCTCATGGCCTTGTTCAATGCAATCCTGCAAAACGATAACCAGGGAATCAATAGAAGCAGTAGCAGCAGCACCATGAAGATGCCTGGAGAAGAAGAGCTTGAGAAAGCTAATGAAAAGCCTGTGAAAAGGCTAAGAAGCAAACAGCCTCTGAATGACAAAGCAGAAGACAAAGCAGAGGTGCCAAAGCCTGCAAAGGCCATATGCTTTGCTTTTGACACCCCTGGGAGTCAAAAGTCTAAAAGCTATGACATAGTGCCTGTTTCCAGTTCCAGCGGTGGCTTTCTGGCACCTGGAGAGTTTTCAGAAGAGCCACCTGAGGCTGCAAAGGCTGGAAAGGCAGGCACAGCAAAGAAGCCTGCTGCTCATGCGCCTTGGAAAAGGCCAGCTGCTGCAAAGGTACTAATAAAGAAGCCTGCAAAGGCTAGAAATAAGAAAGACTGGGCAGTGTCAAAACGTTTTGGTTTCATCCATGAAACCAAGGCTTCCCAGAAAGCATACATCAATGCAAAGCCAGAGATTGGTGACAAACCATATTGTCTAGTCAATGTTCAGCTGGCAGCAGGCCAGCTGCAGGACATGGTGATGAAGAAGGTGTTTGCAAAGGCACGGGAAGAAAATATGACAAAGGCAAGCTTGGTTCACTACAAGAATGAGCTTTTGGAAGCTGGGGACAGCTCATAAATTGCAAAGCCTGTGGGAGGCTGTCAAAGTCAAGCTGGAAAGAGCTATTGAAGATGGAGACAGCTCTGTCTGAAGCTTGGGAAATGCTTAAAATTTCTGGTAAAACACCAAGGAGCTTGCAAAAGGCTACCAAGACCTATCAGCTTTCGAGTTTTGAAAAATGTAGCAGCTTGCTGCAGCAGCATCTGTAGAAATGGGAAGGGGGTCTGCTGGCAGTGCAGAAGTATGCAACTCTGCTGCATGTGCAACTCTGCTGCGTTGGCTCAAAACAGAACTTGTAGAAGATGAGGACATGGGGGGTGGGAAGGAGGAGCCTGCAGAAGCTGGTAAATTCAGAAAAAGAAACAGAGAAAAAACAGCAAAAAAAAAAGAAAGAGAAATATGACATGAGTTTGAGGATCCTGGGGATGGCCCTGATGGCCCTGATGGCCCCCCAGGAGGCCCAGGAGGAGCCAGTGATGGCTCAAGAGGCCCTGGCCTGGGGCCTCCTGTGGTGGCTGCAACTTGAAAAAGCTAAGGCAGCCAAAAAAAGCCTGCGGCTAGGAGTGAAAGCTTGAGAAAGGCTTAGGAGGTAGCCTGAAAAGGGAAGGTAGGCAGCTTGGAAGAGGCTCCCAGCTGCAAACACTGCAGCTCCTGGCACAGACCAGTGAGAGCTTTTGAAAAACAGGGCTGCTGCAAAGGGGAAGGGGATGGGCTGGTTGAAGACCACAAAAAAAATAGGGGCAGTAAGTAACGGATAGGGAGTACCCACAAAAGCCGTTTGGATGGGGAAGGTTTCCTTTTTGGTTGCTAAGTGTTGCAGAAACCTGCAAAGGCTAACAAAAATATAAATCCATATTTTTCAAATGTGGTTTTCAGACAAAAAAGTCTGAACTTCAGACTTTCAGACTTTCAGACGTTTTACTTTATATTTAAGTTATTTATTAAAACTATGAAAATCTGAAAGTCTGAAGTTCAGACTTTTGGTGCTTTTCTTCCCAGAAAATGAATCTGATCACCAAAAATTCTGCGGCCCTTTGGCACAAACTAGAAATGGTTTTAGGGATCTAGTCAGACATGAAGCGGCCTGCAGCAATGGTAAAAAAAGGAGAAGCCAACTCAAAAAAAAAAGGCAAGAGAGCAGGAGCCTGCAGAGGCTGAGTTGGGAACTGAGCCTGGAGAGGCTGAGCCTGGAGAGGCTGAGCCTGGAGAGGCTGAGCCTGGAGAGGCTGAGCCTGGAGAGGCTGACAGCCAGCAAGTGGCTGATCAGGAGCCTGCAAAGGCTGCACCTGCAAGTGGCTCCAAGCTTGATAAGGCTTTGCCAGCAATGGCAAAAGAGAAAGCCAAAGCTAAGGCAAAGGCCTTGCCAGCTCCTAGCAAAGCCCAATGGAATGATGTGAATTACACAATGAAGAAGCTTGAGAAAGCTGGCAAGATGGATTTGCCTGAGAAATGGAAGAAAGCTTGCTTGGGAGGTCACCAATGCAAGCGTGAGTTTTACTACCACACATTTCTCCTAGATCCAAAGGCCAGTAAAAAAGAAGTTCATAAGATTAGCCTGGAAAGGCTTTCGGTGGAATCAACCAAGTTGAAAGGTTGGTTCACCAAATGGCAGCTTGGGGAAATGCAAGGTGCAGTCGCCACCCACCCCATGTTTGAACGGCTCTGCACAGAAGCCTGCAAAGGCTTACCTGAAAGAGATCATGAGAATGAAGCCTGGGCAAGGCTGGGTGTGAAACAATACTATTTCGAACATTTTGAAGCTGAGAAGGAAAGGCATGTGAATGAAAGTACAACTGCGGCCAAGCAAACAGTGGAAGTCTCTGACAGGCAAGATTTCCAAAAGGCAGAGAAGGCCCTCATGGCTGAGCCAGAAAATGGCCAAGTGGTTTTTGGAAAGCAGCTTGCTTCAAACATAGCCTCTGTCCAGCGCAGTGTACATACTCTCGCATCGAACGCATGGCGTCTGCTGCCGAAGACATGACTCTGGATGACTTCAACAGAGTTTGTAACGGAATGGTGTGTCGCTCCTTGGCATCACCTTTCACATGCCATGAACCACAAGGCACCTTTCATCACTTGAACTTTCCCATGATTGAACTAGAGAATGTGGAGTGCAGCCCATCAGTGCATTTCCTCGACCTCATCAAAGCCTACCATTTGGA